GCATGAAGGAGGGGACATACCAACCAGCGGTTCACGGTCGTCTGTTACCAGATGAGTCAGTAACTCGGCTTGAGACGAGTTAGTGGCAAGCGAAAATAGAAAGGAACTCGGATGTTAAAAAGGGTTCGAGAGGAAGCCTTAGAACAGGTGTTCGTCGGCCTAACTGGTGCTTCGGCTATACTTCCGTATACTCTTCGACACACAGCTGCTAAGGCTTTCGCTCTCAGGAGGCTCTCAACGAGAGTCCCCCTTTTTGACCTTTGGGCTCGGTCAGGGGTTGGAACTGAGAACCCCGCGGCTGGGCCCGCCCACCCGCGTATCTCCGTCCTCGGTCGAGCGTTTATGCCGCTCGGCCTCGGCGGCCACCTGGCTGTTGTTCTACCCCGCATTCCTCTCCGAGGAATGCTGTTCTGGGATGCTATCATTCCCACGATGTAACACGTGTGGCAATTCACTCACGTGTTGCTTCATCTATCGTTTACATGGGGATTCCACTACAGGCAGCCCGAACCCAGGTGACCGGTGCCTGGAGCGGCTTGCTCTCTCGACGCAGGGCAAGATGTCGGGCCGTCGATGCAGCACGGGGCGCCGAGTGCGCAGGTGGAGGCCCGCTGCCCGGGCGGCCGACGGACAGAAGGACAGCGACTTGCGGAGAGGCATGCTTAAGCAGGCCTCCCGGCAGATAAGGGCCAGCTGGCGCAGGACGAAGGAGGGCGGTCGAGGCCGACGCCCGGGGCGGGCGGGGGGGGGGCAGGCCGGCGGGGAGGGCCAGAGTACATGGGGTAACACAATGAAGGGTGCATCGAGCATGGCTGTTGCTCAACTTCAGGAGGCAAGCCACCGGCTCCGGTGTCGGCTCCCGATCGAGGGAGCCGCCAGTGTTGGTGCGTTTCTCTGGGATCGGGCCGGAGGTGGGCGGGGGGGGGAAGAAAATTAAAGGGCCTTTTTTATTTGTTTTTTTATTTGCCATGCCACCAGGCCCCGACACAATGATGTTGGGCCTGGGTAGCTGCCAATGGAAGAGCCGCTCGCACGGCGTCCGAGCCTGGGGGGGACGGCCGTCCCGCGGGTGGCCCTTTCGCGTGGCACCTGGCTCCGGGTAGCAGGGCGCCGGTCATTCGCCCCCACACCGAGGGGGGGGGGGAACTGGGGCGATGCGGAGTGAAGGGGGCCAGCAGGGACTCCCCCCCCCCCGGGCGAGGTCTCCTGGGTGTGCTGGTCGGCCAGCGGGGCAGGCGTCGTTGCCCGACTGACGACCCCTCTTCACCCACAGGCGGATGGGCGTTGTCTCGGGGCGCGGGGGGGGGGGGGGGGGCAAGGCAAGACGAGGCGCGAGCGCAAGACTGAATGGTTCTGCATATGCAGAACCGGCCCCGGGCGGCTCCTGCGATGGCCCCCGATGGAAGGTGCGCCTGCCATGGCGGGGGCGCTCCGGCTCGCGCGGGGCGGGGGGACGCTCCATTCGCATTTCTCCGCCGGGCATGCTTGGGGACGTTCGGCGAAGGACCGACCGCCCGCCGGGCCAGGAGGCGAGCTCGTGTGTGTCGGCGTGCGCGGACGACCCGGGGAGGGCCTTGTGCGCGCGGGTGTTGGGAGGCATGGTGCCCGGTCGTGGGGGAGGCCAGGTCGCCCTCGCCCGCCCTGGGCTGCGGTTGCTTCCTTGGGTACCGAGGGCGGCCGGTGTCCCCCGCGCCCCTCGGGGGGGGAGAGTCCAGGGGCCCGGTGCCAGACGGGGTGATGTCCGCCCACAGCCCCCGGCACGACGCTCTTCCGATCTCGGTTGCTTCCTTGGGTACCGAGGGCGGCCGGTGTCCCCCGCGCCCCTCGGGGGGGGAGAGTCCAGGGGCCCGGTGCCAGACGGGGTGATGTCCGCCCACAGCCCCCGGCGCCGGCCGGTCATGGGCCTCCTGCCTGCCAGGATGCTGGAGGCCGCGGGCATGGCGCCGAAGGGTGCCGGACCCCTTCGATCCATGTGGGCGGCCTTTCCTGCCCCGGGCCCCTTGGTGGGTCCCTGCCAACCCCTGGTGTTGTCCAGCGCCACACCGGCCGGGCGCCAGCATTGACAGCGGCGTCCGAGGCGCGGGGACACCCGGGCGGTCACCGGTGCGCGGGGCTTTCCCTCTTTGGCCAGGAGTGCAGATCGGAAGAGCACACGTAGGGTGCCGGACCCCTTCGATCCATGTGGGCGGCCTTTCCTGCCCCGGGCCCCTTGGTGGGTCCCTGCCAACCCCTGGTGTTGTCCAGCGCCACACCGGCCGGGCGCCAGCATTGACAGCGGCGTCCGAGGCGCGGGGACACCCGGGCGGTCACCGGTGCGCGGGGCTTTCCCTCTTTGGCCAGGAGTGCTCATGGGTGCGGCTGATGACGAGCCTGCTCGCCGAGGGGGTCGCGTGGATCGTCGGCGCGAAGGGCCCTCCGGGGGGCCTGAAAGGCGGGGACGCCTGGGCAAGGGGTGGTCGGTGTGAGAGTGAGCCGGCCGGGTGGGGCAGGGGGGGGGGGGGGAAAGAAGGCACCCGCGCCCTCCGGCGAGCCTGGCCCGTGTGACTGTGTGTCGGTGTGAAAGGGCCGCGCCGGGGCTCCGGGGGCATGTTGGGGCTGCTGGGCACGCCGGCCCCCGGGCCCGGTCGGCCCCGGCGGCGCCGGGATTGCCCGTCGAGGGGTCTGGTCGTGCGCGTGTTTCGGCGCCGGCCCCAGAGCCGCCGTGCGGCCGGCTGTCGATCCGGGCCGATCGGGCTGACGCGTGGCACGGCCGCCCCCCGGACGGGGGTGGGGCCAAGAGCCGGCCTGGGGGCTGCCCGCCATGTGTCAGGGTCCCCATTCAAAGGGACGTTGTCGTCTGCCAAAGAGGCCGCCATCTCCCTACCCTCTACCGCCCGGTAACTGTGTTTCTCCTTTCGCCCGCCTTTGCGCTCCTTCTGCCTGGTGCTTTGACGCTGCTGCCCCCCCTGCGGGACCGCCGTTTACCTGCTCTTGTTCCTCGTCTGCCCGTCTGCTTCGGGCATCTGGCGAATGCGCAAACGCGCGCCCTCACGCCGCGGAGCCGCTTGGGATCCGGCCTTGCGCCGGGCTCGGCCCGACATTCCGACGATGGCACCGCCGCCCGGATGGCCACCGGCCGGGCGCCTTCTCCTGCTGGGGCTGGGCTCGCTGTGGGTGGCCCTGATGGGCCGGATGGCCGCACGCGCGCAGGCCCCCACCGACGATGTGTTTCTCCACGCCACTTGGCTCGTCAATCGGGGATCGGGGTCCTTCGGCCCGGCGGTCACCCTGCCCGGGCAGCCATCGATGGTGGTGGACAATGTCCTGAACAATGGTCGGGTGTACATTCAAAATGCCTCGCTGGATGTGTCGGACGAGTTCCGCTGGGGCAGTCTCTTCGACCCCGAGTGGAGCCTGTTTGTCCGGGCGAGCATCCCCTCCGGCGACAGCCCCGAGTGGATGGTCCTGGCGCTGGAGGACGAAGATGGCCCGGTCAAGGTGCTGTACACGCGCCAGTGGGTGACGCTGTTCAGTTCCTCCACCCGGCGGTCTTTCCCGGGGGGGCCGGTGAGCTTGCTCGCCGGCGCGGCGGTGGCCCGAGACCATGCGGATTTGCTGGGGCTCGCCGAGCCGCCGGACGGGCCGCGCGAGGTGCGCCTATGGGAGTTGACCAATGGGACATTGGCCCGGGTGACCTTCGGCGTGGAGGTGGCCGCGGGCCAGCCGGCCAATGCCTCGCCCGGGCCCGGGCGCACCTTCTACCTGTCGACGGGTTCGGATTTGTGGCATGTCCGCCATGGAGGCGTGGCCGCCGGGCCGGCCGCCGTCCAGTCGATCCCCCTGCCGGCGGGGACGGGCACCATTCGCCAGCTGGCCGCCACGCGGGTGGTCACCGATGCCGGCCAGTGCCCGGGAGCCGCGGATGTGGTGATGCTCCTGGACGGCGACCAGGTCCATGTGCTGCCCTGCGGCGCGGGTGGCGCGGGCTCCCCGGGCGAGGCGGGGTCCGGGTATGCGGCTGCCCTGCCGGCCGGGGCCTCGGCAGCCACCGGGCGCCTGGTCAGCCCGCCCCCGGCCCCGGCCCTGGACGAGGCCTACCCCTTCCTGTACTTCCTGCAGCCGGGCCCCGGGCCCGGTGGGGCGCCGATGCGGCTTTGGCGAGCGGACGTCCGGTCGGACGGGCTCTCCTGGCGGCAGCTGCTCCTGCCGCCGGGCCACACGGCCCCGGGGCACTTGCAGCTGGTGCGCCTGCGGCTGACGCTCTCGGGGCCGAGCTCGGGCGAGTGGGCGCTGCTGGCCGACCAGCATGTGCTGCTGGAATCCGAGCGCTTCCGCTGCCACACCGATGAGAGCATCGTGTGCGACGGGCCGGGCGGGCTGACCGGAGGGGCCTTGGGCTGGGTCTGTGCCCCGACCCGGGCCATGGCGCCGCATGTCGTGCCCGGGCAACTGTGTGGCGACTGTGCGGAGGAGCATTACCTTGATCGGCCGGAGGGTGCGTGACAGACCGAAACACACACACACACACACACACACAGACGCGCGCGCGCATACAAAAAATGCACGTTCTCCGCCATACCCCGGTGGCGGGGCGTGGGCTTCGGTCGGGGGCCCAGCCGCCGGGGTCCGGGATGCGTGCGCGTCCGTGGTCCCTCCCTGGTGCTAACTTTGCTGCGCGGCACACGGTGGGCATCGGCCGGGGCGGGATCATGCAACCGGCAGACGAGCCGCCCTTCTCCTCGCCGGGCCACGTGTGCCGGGCCTGTGCCGACAGCGCGTGCCGCACGTGCGACCGGCACGACTGCCTGGTGTGCAAGGGGGCGCGAGTGCGCCAGCCGACCGGCCCCGGAGGGGCGATGGTCTGTGTGGACGCCTGCTCGGAGGGGTTTGCCCTGTGGGGCGGGGTCTGCCTGCCGGCGGGCCTGGACCAGGAGGTGGCCCGCTTCGATGCGGCCGGGCGGGAGACCCTGCCCGGGCCGGTGCTCGGCAGCCAGGTGACCGGGGTCGGGGCCACCCGGCTCGGGGTGGACCTGGCCACCGGGCTGGCGACCATCCCGCCGCCGGGCACCGAGCCGGGGAATGTCCTGCTCTTTGCCGGGCCCGGCCGGGACCCGCTGCTGATGGGGATGGAGGACATCGGCCACGCCGGCAAGGCACCCCCGGCGGCGGTGCGGCTCTTTGTCCAGCCGCCGGCCGAGGCGGTCCTGGGCGTGGCGGAGCTCGGGCCGACGCTCAATGCCGAGGGGCGCTTGGTGATGGCGCTGCTGCTGGCCGAGCGGAGTGGGCGAATTTCGTTGGCCTGGTTGTCTTGCCAGCCGGCCGGGCCGGGCCAGGGCTGCACGGTGGCCGAGCCAAGCGCCCTGATCCGCACCGGCATTCAGACCTTGCCGGCGATCCGGCGCCTGGACGAGCGCCATGTCTATGTCACCGATGATTCGCTGGTGTCATCGATCTTCTGGGCGGACATGGACCGGCTCACATGGCACAATGACTGGCAGGCGGCGTCGGATTTGCTGCCTCTGCGAAAGGGCTGGGTGGTCCATGTGTCGATCATGGAGCAGGCCGGGGTCGGGCCGCTGGCGATGCTGGTCCAAAATGATGCTCGCTGGTGGTGGAACGGCGTGATGGGGGGCTTGCTGCCGGCCGACCCGAACTGGGGGACATACCGGGCGGTGCTGCTGCCCCGGGGGCCGGGGCCCGGCGCGGCCGGGCCCGAGGCCGAGGCCATTGACCCCGGGCCGGAATTGGTCCTGGTGCTGGACACCACGGCGGCCGCATGGGACGTGGTCCGGGTGCCGGGGAGTTTGCCCTCGGCCGGGGGCACTGGCGCGCGAAGGCCCAGCACCCTGAGCCAGCGGCTGGGCCTGTTGCCGGAGGCGCCGGACCTGGCGGCCGACATGCGGCCATCTTCCCGGGTGTTCGGGGTCCGGCTGGCCGGCGGGTCGGCCGAGTATCCCAGTGCCCTGGTGCTCCTGTCGCAGAAGTACGTGGCCCTGTCGGTGCTTTGGTGCCGGCCTGGCGGCCGGTCGGCGGCGTGCGTCCTGTTGCCGGCGGTGTTGACCGACCTCCCGGCCGAGCTCCACCTCACGGCACGGGATTTGCTGTGGGCGGAGCCGGTGGTGTACACCCCGGCCGGGCCGTCGCCCAACACGCCGGGGCTGCTGGTCAGCGTGCTGACCTTCGCCGAGGCCCGGGGCCCGGTGTATTTGCACCTGCGGGTGCCCTGTCCCTCGGGCACGGTGGGGAAGGGCTGCCTGGCGTGTGCGGACGCTTGCGCCGAGTGCTGGGTCCCGGGGGATGCGACGGCTTGCGTGAGGTGCCCGCCCGGGCGGTTCCTGGCGGCCGGCGGGGGCACCTGCTCGGCCACCTGCGCCGCCGGAACCACCCCCGGGACCGGGGACCGGGAGGGGATTTGCGTGCCCTGTCCTCCGGGCACGGCCGGCCCGACGTGCGATCCCTGCCACGCGACGTGTGTGCTGTGCTCGAGCCCCGGCGATGCGATGGCTTGCCTGACCTGCCAGCCGGGGCACCTCATGACCGCCCTCGGGTCCTGCGTGGAGGAGTGCATCCCGGGGACCATGCCCGGGATTGACGACGGCCACGAGGGGACCTGCGTGCCCTGTCCGGCCAGCTGCCTGGACTGAGAGCACGGCAGCCCGGAACGGAGGAGGCGGGGGGGAAAAAAGTGCCAGCCCCTCGCCCGATGCCTCATGCTACGACGGGACATCTCCCTTGCCGGCGGTCGGAATCATGGGGCTATTGCCTGGGCGTACATCGGCGCCCGGCCAAACGGCGGTGTTGGATCCCCCACGGCGCCAACGAGGCCGATGGCCTCTCCTCTTGATCCTGTACCATACACCTGACCGTCGGATGTGCCGATGCGCGACCGGGGGCAACGGGAAGGCGCCCCGGCCGGAGGGGGGGTCGGCAGTGGGCCGGTCTCGAGCCGGGTTTTATGAGGGCGCCCGAGGCCAAACACGCCCATCGCGCGGCCGGGGGGTCCGGGGGGACCCCCGGCGAGAGGGGCTCCGAGGGGGCATGTGCGTCGGCCCGGGACCCGGGCAGGTGGCCGACCGGAGAGGGGGCTTCATCGCGATGGCCATGGAGCTGGACCTGGTGCGCGGGCCGGACGCGCGAGTCGCCAGGATGGCGGGCTGCAGTGATGGCCGGGGGCCGGCTTCGCGGGTCGGGCAAGAGGAGGCCGGAGGGGACGAGGGTGCAAAGTTGTGGGGGTGTCTTCTTCATGGCCCCCCCCCCCATGGTGAACCCTCTCTGCCGGGGGATGTGGTGGCGGTCCGGCTGCATGTGCGAGTCAGGCAGGCGCCGGGGGCTCTGGGGGTGCGGTGGGTCGACTGGGCAATGTACTACGGCCTCCTGAGGGTGGTGGCGGTGGGGGAGGCTGTTCGTCTGATCGCGGCCTGCCGCCAAGCCCCCCCGGCGGTGGCCCGGTTCCACCGGACTCGAACAAGGCAGGGGCGGCGGG